CTGCACGCAAAATTGGATCTTGATAAATCCGGCCCTATGTCTCTCGGCTGGCCTGGGAGCGCCTAGGGCTTCCCCCAACAGAGCTGGAGGAGGTGTCAGCGCAGAGGGAAGTCTGGGAGTCTCTGCTTAGTCTGCTGCCCCCGCGACCCGGTTCTGGATAAAGCGGGAGACGACGAGTACGAGATCACTAGTGTTATGAACTAAATTTACAGATGGATATGTACCGAATATAATATACAGATGGATATTACTATTAAAAAAAAGGTTTTTACAGTTATGTACAATAGCTTATATACAGATGGGTTTACTATAAAATGAATAAATAGAGTTTGGCCAGAAGCTATCTAAATTAAAGTGCAGTGGAAGGTAATTGCATATTACAGTTAAAGTACGTTATTGCAGATGTAAATGTAAACAACTGGTGCTGTGAATAACCAGTCAGCAGTGCAAATATAAGCAGTCGGCAGTGCAAATCAATAATCAGTCAAAGTGAGTAGTGCAAGATGCATATAAAGAGTTGTTACAATAGTAACAGCCAGGAGTGCAGGTGAACTTTACAGTCTTTTTTAAAAAAACAAAACAGAATAGCAAAATGGTGGTAGGCGTCCATCAGTGAGGGTTAGAGTTTGGTAAACAGACAGCTCTGGGGGAAAAGCTGTTCTTAAGTCTGGTGGTTCTGGTCCGGAGGCACCTGAAACGCCTGCCGGAGGGTAGGAGAGAAAACGGTCTGTGGGCTGGGTGAGATGAGTCCTTAAGAATACTGCGGGCTCGATGTAGGCAACATGAACAAACTGAAATCTGTCAGATAAATAAGATTTAAACCAGCCTAGTGCTGTTTCTTTAATTCCTACAAAATATTCAACTCTTTCTAAAAATAAATTATGATCAACTGTATGAACTGCAGCACTGAGCTCTAACAGGACAACTACAGACAAGTCCCTTATCTGAGGCCATGAGATTATCACTAGGGAACTAGACCAGAGCTGTTTCCATGCTACAGTATGATGAGCTGAAACTCTCAAAGTTCATTATGGTGTACGTGGTCACACACTTTTTTAGCAACTACTTTCTCAAGAGTTTTAGATGAGAAAGGAAGATTTGGTATAGGTCTATAATTGACCAAGTCATCTGGGTCAAGAGAATTTTTCGTAAGTAAAGGTTTAATTACAGCTTCCTTAAAAACTTGAGGTACCTATCCCTGTAACAGGGAAAGATGAAATACATCTAAAATTGAGGTGAAAATCAAAGAAATTACTTCCTTAAATGAGTTGGTTGGAACTGGATCTAACATACAAGTTGAAGTCTTCGGCGTCTAAATTCAGTGTAAAAAGGGAAGGGTTACTTCAGGTCACAGACATTAGCAATAGATTGTGGTGTCCAACACCCAGCCAATCCCGTTACGTTTTCTTAGTCACGTGACGTGACGCTTGTGGCGCACATACTGAAGGAAAACCAGAATGACAGAGGCGGTCATGCAAGCTAATGCTAACTCAACGGTGAGTTTATTACTTTCATTTTTCTGTAGTTGAGTTAGCGTTAGCTTACATGACCGGCTCCGTCATGCTGGTTTTCCTTTCCGAATTTAGGGCAGTGAAATAGAGCCAGTTGAATCTCAGGAGGCTGAAAATATTGAGTTTGAATTTTGAAAGGTTGAATTTTTTTATATGCAGATTTTTTTAACACTCAAAAATTTAACTGAAAAATAAGTATTGAAAATGTAATCACTTTGAAATAGTAAAGTAAATTTTTAACTTAAAGAGAAAATAACAAATGAAATTTCAACTGTGTAGAAATAATGACAATGAATTTTCTTTTAGGTCAAAAATGTGTTCTGAATATATTTTAACACTGAAACAGTAAGTACAAACATACAACATTTAAATTTCAGTGGCATTTTTAATTCAAATCCCAGCGACACAGATTTACTTCCATACCATCAGACCATAGCAGTTTATGACCTGCTTTCTTTGACAGCGACTTTCTCAAACATTTATTACCCAAAGCGAGCGGTTTCTCTATGGGATATCTAGACAAATCTCGGTAGGAGGGGTTTAATAAGTGGAATACCACAGTGCTTGCCAGGAAAACCTCTTGACTATAAAACCGTATTAACAGCCCACCAAATCTGCTGAAACGGTGGGTTGTTAATCTCAATCTAATTATGTGCCTTTGCAGGGATTATTAATATGAACTGCCTCAGTTGGCAAGTTGTTGAAAATCCACAGGGCCAAAGAAATAAGCAGTAATCCTGAACAAGGTTGAGTCAAACCACATATGGTGACTATATCTCAAATTTGTAAAGCTCAGAGAAATACAAACAATGCAGCTGAATACCTTGATAAAACAGAATGAATAAAAAGGGGTTCGAGGATATCAAGTAATGCTTACTTATTAAAGAATATATTTGTCTATGTCCAATAAACTTATCAAAACACAATCCTGAAAGAGAAGTGATTTTTTATTTCCTAGTAATTTACTCTCAAAATGACTCTAGGAATGCATCTGGCTATTTCAAAATATGAGAAAAGATTTTTTTTAAATAACACCTTCTTCTTTCTTACAGAAATTCCATAACCTGGCAGCTTAAATTCAAAAACTAACACCACAAACATTCCTTTCTTTGTGTGGAGTAGAAACATGATAACAAAGATTTGCCATTACTTACTTAAAGTTAAGGCTCTCCCACTTTTTCTGAGTTACCCAGCTTCCACACACAGACTTGCTGCTGTTCAAAGGCTTACTGGAATCACCATATCTGAAAAGCAGAAATACCACAATTGGCCTTTAAAAAATAACAGCTGTTGAAATTCCTAAGAAAATAATGTGCCAGTATTGCAGGGGTGCATGGGAAGAAACCTGTACTATCAGAAACTAAATTTGATCTGCACTGACAGAACCTGTATTCATGTCATTTGAAACTGAATAGATTATCTTTGAAAATGTGTTTCACTAAAGTTTAACTGGATTTAATGATTTTAATCTAAATGAATTTGTTGCATTTAAAATGATCATTTCCAATTTTTGTTGGAAAATTCTGTTTCTTTGCGTCAGACAACAGGAGCTGTAAGAGTAATCAAACAGATTCACTGAATGATACTTTATCTCTTTTTATATTTATTTTATGGCATTTCATCGTCCAGCAGATGAGCAGCTTAAGCTTTGTAGATGTCATTACAAGTGTCAAATTTTCATATAAAAGAAGTGTCACAATAAAAAAAAAGGACTTGGATTACCCGTTATCTGTAGCTATCAGATAAAGAAGCTTACTATAGTGTGCCGCCGCTGTTACGTTGTTCTGTGATTCTACAGTACACCATTCTGTTTGTCATGGTGAACGAAATGGTTCTGACATTTACGAAGCTTCAGAACAAAATATGGTCAAAATATGTTTAAAGGAAAATTCCGGTTTTTAACACTTTTAGCCC